GGAGTCGATGGACTTGGCCCCTGAGGAGGACCTCCACGGATACTAGCCACGCTTCTGTGAGCAAGTGTAGACCCAGATCCAGAGGCCATCGCGAGTGAGATGAATTCTTCTGTGTTTCCTGCTTCTTCCCTTTGTTCGATGTTGGCGATGAGATGCCCTGGTCAGGGCGTACCTAGCCATGTAGCTTGTCTTAACGCTGGTTGGTTGAATGGCTATTTGAAGTCGGCGTTTTTAGCGCCGATCTGCCGTCTTCACTGGCTAAGAAAACAGTGGTCACTGGTAACTGCAGCGACGTGGGGCAACCTTGGACCGTGAACTTCAACCTACATCATCGACTATCGAATCAGGAGAGTTTGGGGCGGGTTGCTTCAAGGTCTTTCTGATGTTCAAATGGGTATCAAAGGGTGAGAATCGCGTGTTATGTATGGCAAACTTCCAGGCTAATTTCTTCAGGATCTACCAGGAGGTGGGCGAAGGCGAAAGAGTGGCTTTACTGAAACTCGCCGCCGAGTCACTAGAGAATAAGGGACGGCCATTGCGAATAGCGATTGATATTGCGATTTGGCAATTTCAAAATCAGGCGGCGCAAGGTACATCACAGCCACTGAGATACTGAAGCACTTCTCTAACACGGTCAGGCGGCACCAACCCCGAAATTCGAACTTTATTCTACCGACTCGTTCGTCTACTGGCATGTCCAGTTGAGCCTATCTTTGTTTTCGACGGTCCATACAAGCCTGCGGTCAAGCGAAACAAGAAATCCGGTCGAGGCGACTCCTTCGCCAATGCACAAGCGAAACGGTTAATTCGACTATTTGGCTGCAACACCCACGATGCGCCTGGAGAAGCTGAGGCGGAGTGCGCTCTGCTGCAGAAGCATGGCATCGTAGACATGGTTCTAACAGAAGATGTTGACGCTCTGATGTTTGGATGCACCAAAATGCTGCGTCAGTGGTCACCGGCATCAAAACGAGACACAACGCCGACGCACGTCTCTCTGTTCGACACTGAGAAAATGAAACTTGATCAACATGGCTTGGATCGCGAAGGCATGGTTCTTGTTGCTTTGATGAGCGGTGGCGACTACGATCCTAATGGGCTCCCCGGCTGTGGCATCAAAGTGGCTGTTGAAGCTGCCAAAGCTGGCTTTGGCAGAGATCTCTGTCGGTTGAAGGCAGTGGACAAAGAAGGAACAACAGCTTGGAGAAATTCCCTAATACATGAGCTTCGCACCAACGAGAGTGGTCATTTCAAGAGGAAGAACAAGGCCTTGGCGATACCGGAAACCTTCCCAGACTTCAAGGTTCTACGCTACTACACACATCCTGTTGTGTCTCCCAGGGAAAACATAGACGAGATCCGAGAGAAGGTTCATCTGAAAAGAGAGATCCAGTTTGAAGACCTAAGAGAGTTTTCTAGAGAGGTCTTTGGCTGGGATTACCGAGTTGGCGCTCTCAAGTTCATCAAGGTGCTTTCTCATGCAGTGCTTGTCCAGAAGTTGCAGGCTCTTGAAGGGCATGACAACGCAGACTACGTCAAAGGGATTGCAGGGTTTAGGTCCGATCTCAAGAATGACTTGGTGTCACAAGTTCGCATACAGCACATTCCGAGCGAAATTGTGCCCATCGATTTGTCCAAAGAGGAAGATGAAAAGATAGTGCAAGCTCGAGGTGGACTGGCACTGAACAGCGATGACGAAATCGACGACGCAGAGAACATCGAGGAATCCACGGCGAAACGGCAGCCGGCTCCTTTTAACCCTTCGGGGCGGCAAGGTGTTTGGACATTAGAAATACTGGCAAAGTCGAGGATACCAGAAGTGTTTGCAGACGCTCAGGTGGTGCAAAGGGCTGCAGAGAAGAAGAAACAGCAAATAAAGGAACCTAAAACGAAAGCAACCAGGTCCAAGCCTGGTCCGAAGACGGGGATGCCTGCTGGCGCGCTTAACAAGTTTGTGCGAGCAAGCAAACCTCATACTGTCTCTACTGTGACTTCTAAGACGTTGTCTAAGGAGAGAGAAATAATCACCTCGCCGACCCGACCGACAACATCCCGCCGCTTGCGAATACCGTCACCTCTGGAGCCAAGTAAGCAATCTGCGTCGACCTCGGGTAGCACCGTCAGGCAGACAACAACCCCTTGGACACTTGCCAGCTCACAGGTGACTCCTAGGACACGAAGGCCTACAAATGAACAGCAAGCGATTATCATCACATCTAGCCCGCCCTGTGCAGCTGACTCGCCTCCCCCTTCGCCTTCGCCACGGCCAAGGACTCGTGTGCCTGCCTCTCGCGACTTACCTGACCCGATGTGTGCGATTCCTGCGTCAAGTGGTTCTCCGCAAAGGTTGAAAGACTCGGCGTTGAACGCGAGGCGTGCAAAACCGCCGACCTCTTCTCAGTCCTCTGGACCTCCCAAGATGAAACAGATGTCCATGGACATGTTCACAAAAAAGTCCAAGAACACGAGTTCGTCTCAGACTTCTGCTTCAAGTTCTTTACTCTCAGCTTCCAAACAACAGCAGTCAAAATCTCAACTTAGTTTCGATGATGACTTTGATAGTGACTCGTCAACCGATCTTGCTCCCCTCTCCTCCCTCATCTCACGCTCCTCTGCATCCCCGAACAAACGACAACAGTCATCCTTACCACCGGACCGAAACGCAACCCCAAGTCCTGCACCTGCGCGGAAGAAGAAGTTACTCATCCCAAAGGCCAGCGCCATGGGTTTCTACGAAGAGGTGGAGGTCGACGCTGAAGAGCGCGACGAGCTGATGGCTAGGGAGACAGCAGCTCTAGAGCGCAGAGGAGTTAAGGCTAAGATTTTTCGGACGAGCGATGTTGGATTTATAGACCTGACACAGGATGATTAGGAGCATATATACACGAAACAGCATGGGCACGGCGTTTTCAGGTTCGATTTCAGGCGCTACATAGCGGGTAGCATATTCACGATCCATCACCTCTGGCATCGTTACGAAGAATCGACATCAATATACTCATTAACACAGTTTGCAGGTTCCAGAGCCACGTTTCTCGTCATGCCCACAGAGTGACTCTAGTACACGATCTGAGAGGCTACTTGATTCATTTCATGCATCCTTTTGAAATCGAACTTATCTGAGGGTATTCAGACATGAGACAATTCCATGTAACAGTTAATTCACGTATACATGCATTCATTTACAAAACTGGTTTACGTTGGCAACTCCTCATGTCGTTTGTGGGACCAGCCTACACATAGATGCAGAACGCGCATTTTGGCCAGCTTCTGGTTTCATCAATGAGCGCATCTATATCTGAATGACATGACGTCGCGAAAAGCAGTGACTAAATAATCTAAAATTAAAGTGAATCAGAGCTTCAGAAATAACCTCAACTCGTTTTCTACAGCCAGGTTCATTAAAATTGTGAATGAAGACACTAACAGCCCTACGAGATGCTATTTCGAACTCCGGCGCTTACACCTGGTTGGTCAAAAATAGCATCGCGGCTAAAGCTCCGTTTAACATAGCACAAGCGCCTGGCTGGGTCTTTGGCCTAGTAATAAGCGACCCTAGCATACGAAAACGAGATCCTGCTTGTTTTTGGGGGGCTTACTTGAGTGAGCTGAAAGATGAGAGAAGCTTACAGAAGTTGGCCGCGAGCTGGAGTTAGTTTTCAGCATTTGTTCAGATGCTGGACACCCTGGTAGGTTGATTGTTGAGTCTTTGCCGCACAAGCTACAGAACCAGCGTCTTCCTTTAAAAGAAATATACCAGCCTGCATTAGTGGTGTTGTTTATGTTTATCTGAACAATTTAATGGATCAATTTTCTGCGCATTAGATGACTCTAGCTCTCTTTTATTCCATCCATCGTGAAGCCTCTATTTCAGTGGAGACCATTTCTTGGCCACTTAGCGTTGGTATTGAGGCCCACTTAGAGCCCCGGCTCGTAGTGCAAGGCCTGAAACAACGTTTCGACACAGGACAACCAATCGTGCTCCGTCTCAACCCCGGTCTTGAGATTCAAATATAACAAACCATCCAGCGATGGCGCCCAACGTTCAAGACGACAGCGCTTGCGGATGAAATCGCACGAGCACCAGGCTTAGGCGCTGACCTGGGTCGACTGGTCTGAGTCGCTGCGACCTGTTGCTGCCCATCGGGGGCCCTCCACACAGAGCAAGGAACCGCTGAAACCGAGTCTGAATAGAAGCAGCTCGCGGCCAGGCACGGCGGCCATGACACGGCAGCGCTGATGGTTCTCTGCATTTCTGACACTATTGACTGCCCGAGTGGAGCCCAGCATCAGGGTAAATCGTTGACGCGATTCGATGCGGGAAACGATCGAATCGTGAGTCGCCTCCTTTTTGGTTGGCTCTCCAGCTTCACATCCATGCCATGACGAGAAACCGCATGCAGGGGCCAACCAAAAGTTTGTTGTGCAGGTCGCATCGTTTCCAACAAAGAGTGTGACTGATGTGTGCATAGGCAGTAGCTCTTAAAGTCTGCCTGTGCCAGCTGTTGAGGTGGCAAACCCCTCCCCATTTCCTTATTGTTCTCCGTTCATTCAAACCCAAACAATGGTGTTCAATCACCTTCATTGACCTATTTTCCTATCATTAAACCTTCTCTTCTTTGACTTCCTCTTGTTCACCTATTGACTGTTCGGACTGGTTCCAATATCACATACACTTTCTCATTTGTGCAAGCTTCGACTCACTTATAAACCAACTCACTGATAACTTTCACTTACATCCGACAAACTTCACTTCACTGTCGTGACTATATCTTCGATTCAAAAGTTTCTACACGACTCAAATATCACACTTTCCTACTTCAAAGTAAGTCCTTGAGTTGCCTACCTTAGGTATAACAAGAAAAGCCTCGTCTAACCACTTCCCCTAGCCTTCTTCCTTCCTCATCAAAACTTCATCTCAATATTTTCTCGACCTTCAGTCGTAACTCAACAACATTTCATTCATTTTTCTTTACCTACCAAATACGCCATAGCCCGTCATGTTCGGATTTAGTCAGCGAGCCTGGGGCCCAGGCATGATCGTCCTCCAGATCCTGCGTGTTTTCACGATCATCAGCCTCCTGACCGCCGCTGCCTCTTGTTGGGTCCTCATCATCAAGATCAACACCTCCCAAGGCTGGTTCTTTTTCGAGGCTCTCTCTCTCGCGATGATGAGCTCAGCCACCATATTCCTCGTCATTTCCGAGTTGCCCTTCTGCAGAGCGTATTTCGCCAATCATTGGCCCGTATTCTCTGATGAACACGGCCTCTTTTGGCTTGGAATCGGTCTGATACTGATTGGGACGAACCTCCTCGGCAAGCTCAATTCGTCGGACTATAGTGTTGATGAGTTGGGCCTTCCTTTCTGGCGACTTATCGTGTCCGCTGGCATCCTGACCTCCATCTTCGGCGTTGTGAACCTCATCTGCACTTTCGCCTTCCGAGGTGTTAACGTCAATGCTCGCAAGATTCGGTCCAATGGATCCCTCGCGGACGATGAATCGTTCGGCAAGCCCCAGTCTAACTACAGCGCATCATTTACTAATGAAGATCGACCCAAGAATACTTTCAAGAGATTCTTTTGGGACAGGAAGAACGAGTCCACACCCCGACGACCTACCATAAGTCAGCCTATCACTCGGGAGCGTGACCTTGAGCGTAATGCCCCTCCTCCTCCTCCTCACTACGAGCATCAAGAACCCTCTTCCCTCGGCCGGCAGTCACACGACTCTGGCGAGGATCGCCGTAGTCCCATCGTCCCTGAAGTTCGTCGCCCAGACACAGCCCTGCACCCGATGAATATTCGCCCTCATAGCCCAAGCATGTACTCGGAGGCGCACATGTCTCGGTTCTAGGAAGAATCGGCGCGCAAATAGGAGAAAGCGCGTAAAGCAGCGGAGGACAAGAAGCAATCGGCGCAGGCTGTGAAGAACAAGGAGAATGTGCAGTGCAACTCGGAAAATTGTAACTGCAAAGGATGCGTGCGTGAAGGAAAAAAGGTAGAAGGGCGTTAAGGCATTAGGAGTCAGCGATACCACGTTTTGGATTTATGGCTTTCGTTATTTGTTTGCTAGCAGGGATACCATTTGCCAAACTTTCTTTACAGCCAGTTCAACAAATCATATTCAAACTCAATTGTGTTTCTGGGATTAATATTCATAAGGCCCATGTACTTATGCAGACTTGTTTCTTCTTAATCCACTGTTTCTCATCTTATGAACAGCCTTATGTCAAAGCGACTATATCGTAATGTTGAGAATCGAACTTTCAGGAGAACTTTGTGGAATTTGTATTGGTTTGAAGTTCACAATTGTAGGTCTTAAAGTTCAGGGCCTTTGGGGCTTACACGATAACCTCCTGGCGTAGCACGCACATTGCCCGACTATATTTGTCAGCCGGCAAGGAACACCCAATGCCTGTGGGAGTAAGGTTCAAAAGCCGTAGATTTAAAGGCGGCCTGCCATCCATTACATGATGTTCTTTTTCCTTCTCTCTCCTCTTCTTTCAGATGCATATCCTATCTATTTATCAGTAGTCAATACAAGGAACTCACAATCCTTGTGCAACAATAAAAGACTTTTTGGTACAAAAATAGATCAAGGAGTAGCTGTACATTCAGGGAAACTGTTCTATAAGCTGGCTTCTCTCCTTGGCTTTTTCTATTCAGGAGAAACCAGTCTCTTTGTTGCTTTTCCCTGCATTTGAATCGCGACTACTCCGTGCTCCGTCCCTGATCTATTGTTGAGTGGAGCCTCAGGCATCCGCAATTGTTGTTCCAGGCCCGACGCCAGCGGTTTCCGTAGCCTATCGCTACTAAGCTTGACCTGTGCCTAGCCCCAATCATCACCGTCACCATCACCATCTCTTTACCTCACACGACCAGTTGCGCTCGTCTCCATCACCGCTATCATGTCTGGAGACTCTGCTGAGGTGGCGGAGGATTACCGCATGGCCTTGGAGGATCTGTCCTCCAACATGCGCTTCGAGATTAGCAACCTGACAGTCATTGCTCGTGAGAATACTGAACATGCCCTAGCTATCGCCGAAGTTTTGCAACAACACATCCTCAAGGTAAGTTAGAATCTTGATGCGCAATATGAATGCGCACGAACAGTCCAATTCAATTCAATGCTAATTTTCGCGTAGGCGCCTCCGAACAAGAAACTTCCAGCTCTGTATGTACTCGATTCGATCGTGAAGAATGTCGGCACACCATACACTCTCTACTTCGGCCGCAATCTGTTCAAGACCTTTATGGAGTCTTATGCAGTAGTCGATCAACCAGTTCGTCGAAAAATGGAGGAGATGCTTAGAACATGGAAGGAGCCTGTTCCTGGGTCAATGGACAGCAGGCCCGTCTTTTCGCACGAGTTGGTGCGTCCTATTGAAAATGCACTCTTGAAGGCACGCGCCGTAAGCATGCCCCAAGCGGGAATGATGCCTGGGCGACCGCGATCTGCCGTGCCTCATCGTGATACTCCGACACCGCCGGGGACGAGATACCCTCCAGGCCATCCAGCCCAGCAATACACTTCAAATGGAGGACAGTCATTGAGCAATGACATTCGGAATCTAATTGTTGCCACGCAGGCGGAAGCCTCGCGCAATCCCCAAAATGTTGATGTTCAGACTAGATTAAGAGCACTTCATGAGCTGCAGGGCGTTGTGAACAGCACTAGCTTGCCTCCGGATCAGCTTGAACTCATTAAGAGACGAGTAACTGAACTTGCTGCCGTAAACATGATGGCGCCTCTGACTCAAAGGCCTGCACCTACTCCTCCTGTGCCCGTCCAAGCACGCCCCATGCCTCCAGTGTCCGTAGCCCTTCCTCCGTCTGCAGCTCCGGCTCCAGCGCAAGAAGGTGTGACGCTTGATGCGCTCTTTGGCCCGGGAGCCTTGGCCGCCTTGATGGCAAGAAAGTCGGCTACACCTTCGAGCTCAACACCGACTCCTCAGCCTCCTCAGGTTCGTCCTGAACCACCAAAGCCACCTATGCCAAACATGTCTGCAATGCCAGCCATGGCCCCTATGCCAGCAATGTCGATACCGACGATACCTGGGATGACTCCAATGCCTACGATGTCCCAGGCACCAGCACCAGGGCCAGGGCCAGCAGCAAACGCAGCCCCTTGGAGTCTTCTTGATCAACTACGAAAGTCAGGCCTACTCCCTCCTGCTCCTTCAGCAACGCCCACGCCAGTTCCAGTACAAGGGGGTATCAATGTGGCCGCTCTCAAACAACCCTGTCAGCCTTCTTTGATCAGGGCGCTACATAACGACCTGGGCCAACCTTGTACCCAGTGTGGTAGACGGTTTCGAGACGATCCAGTTGGAAAAAAGCAGAAGATTGCTCATATGGACTGGCATTTCCGTGTCCACCAGCGAACCAACGAAGCCGAGAAGCGAGGTATGCACCGGAGTTGGTACGTTGATCAACGCGTAAGTCACACTACCTCCTCACAATACAAAATTACTAACAACAGTACAGGACTGGCTCAAGTCAAGAGAGGCCGTCGACGTCGACCACCTCCCCACGACTGAGGATGTTGCCGCTCAGGCCTCAAAGGCATCCGAGGCTGCTAAGCCAAAGTACATTCTTGTTCCTGATGCATCTCGCCGTGTCAACACCGTTTGCCCAATCTGCCAGGACAAGTTTGAGAATAAATGGCTCGATACGGCACAAGAATGGGTATGGCTAGACACAGTTTTAGTTGGCGACCGAGCATACCACGCATCATGTCATGCAGAAGCAACACGAGACCGTGAAAACACACCAGTACTAGGCAAACGCAAGGCCGAGACAAGCATAGCATCACCTAAAGTGCGATCACTCAAGACATCAGCGTAAAGAAATCGAACATCGGTACAGCATTGAGATGCAAATATATATCGGCATGGCGGCCCAGGCGTTATGGAACGAGCATGAAAGGGATTGGTGGTCGTTGAAGCATTATCATGGAGTTATGTTAAGGGTTTTTAGCAATTTAGTCAACGGGGCTATTGAAAGGGCTGTCGCCATAGCCAAGATAAACCAATGCAATCTTTTGATTCTAAACTGTTCATAATGTGTAGTGAAATGTCGTGAAACTGTATGAAGGATAGATGACAGCGGTAGACGGCGGTAGTACGGAGTACAGACTAGCAAATACCGATTATATGGATCCGAGAGCGGCCCGTTGTTCGGGGATTGGTCCCCACGATTTGAACACGGGCTTGCTTGTTGCACGCGTTTTAGTTAGTTCAGGTACGGTCCACTCTATTTTGTTCACTTCCAGTGGTCGAGTCTTAGCTTTCACCTCCAAGCTCCATTCCCTTCGATGCATGACCTGACCCTAATCTACCAACCAACCGATGCCAGCTCACCGCAACCTAACGTCACCTACCAAGTCGTATAGCAAACCAAGCCAACCTCGCCCTTTGTGATTCGGTGATCGGCACGACTACAGCGACCATGGCGGTCGACTGCCCCATCTGCAACAAGCCTGTCAAATCCTCCGAGATCAACAGCCACATCGACTCAGGATGCGAGAGCTTCATCATAGACAAAGAGAAGGCCCCGACACCGCCGCAATCACAGACGCCACAAAGTAATTCTCAAAAACGAAACGCTTCCAACTTCTTCTCTACGCCCGCGCCAAAACGACAAGCTGCCTCTGAGAACCGAATAGCGACTCCTGTGAACGGAGCATTACAGCCTATAGCAGGGAAGAAGAGGACTTTCGAGGAGGGCCCGGGTCATGGAGCAGCAAGCTCAAATAGTGCGGAAGAGACGACAAACGGCGAGAATGCCAACGGAACGAGTACTTGGTCTCCGAATACGGAGCAAGATGGAAGAGTGGTGAAGAAGACAAAGACAACACGAGCTGCGCCCTTGGCCGAACGAATGCGACCACGAAACCTCGACGAAGTATGCGGACAAGATCTAGTTGGGCCAAACGGTGTGCTGCGCTCTCTTATCGAGTCGAACCAAGTACCCTCAATGATTCTTTGGGGTGCTTCAGGCACAGGAAAGACAACAATAGCACGATGTATCGCTCGCATGGTCGGTAGTCGGTTCATCGAACTCAATGCGACAAGTACAGGAGTCAGTGAGTGCAAGAAATACTTCCAAGAGGCAATGAACGATCTTGCCCTCACTGGTCGCAAGACCATAATCTTTTGTGACGAGATTCATCGCTTCAACAAAGCCCAGCAAGACGTGTTCCTCAAGCCTGTTGAGGCCGGTACTGTGACGCTCATCGGCGCGACTACAGAGAACCCTTCTTTCAAGGTGGCAAATGCTTTGCTCTCCCGATGCCGAACCTTTACGTTGCAGTCTCTTACAACAGAGGATGTAGTACGCATTTTACAGCGGGCAATCAAGGAGGAAGAATCAGTTTATCCGCAAACACCATTATTGGACGAAGCTATGGTGACCTACCTGGCACGCTTTGCGGATGGTGATGCTCGTACTGCATTGAATCTCCTCGAGCTCGCCCTTTCGCTCACAACCCGCGAGGGTATCACACAAGAAGATATCAAGGCCGCCCTTACCAAGACTCTGGTCTACGATCGTGCAGGGGACCAACATTATGATACTATTTCTGCTTTCCACAAATCAGTCCGTGGAAACGATGCAGATGCCGCACTCTACTATCTTGCGCGCATGCTCCAATCCGGCGAGGACCCCTTATTCATCGCCCGCCGCATGGTTGTCATTGCCTCCGAGGACGTTGGTCTGGCGGATAACACCCTCCTGCCACTTGCGACGGCAACATACACAGCCACACAACAAATCGGCATGCCAGAAGCTAGGATCCCTCTGGCGCACTGCACTGTTGCGCTATGCAATGCGCCCAAGAGCACAAAGGCCTACCGTGCTCTCAACAATGCCTATGCAGCCCTACGCGAACCTGGTGTGGCCGGTCTTCCAGTGCCTCTACACTTGAGAAACGCTCCTACAAGACTCATGCGTGACATGGGATATGGCGCTGAGTACAAGTATCCACCCAACTACCGTGATGGGCAGGTGAAGCAGACCTATCTACCCGACGAACTTGTCGGGCGTCGATTCGTTGAGGACCGGGATTTAGGAACAGAGGTTGATCCAGATCTTGAGATGGGTGGGACATAGTTATATGAATGGAATCTGGAATAGACTGGATGGCATAAGGAAATGGATAAAAAGCGTGGTTTTGCATTGTCTCAGGAGTAAGGATAAGGTTGGTTACCCCCAGGGGTTTACAATACTGTACTATAAAGGTTGTACCATGGACTTGGAAACAGAGACTATCATTATCTCTGTGTGATTCTCGTTAACATATCTGTTCTCTTATGATACATAAAAGGCATGTACTTCCCGGCTTAACTACTACGTGAAAGACATGCATAGCAACTTCACCAAATGTTACAAGGTATCAATGATTTCTCCCATAAAGCTTTGTCCCATTAAACTACCTAAACCGATCTTCAAACCCGTGAAGATTTTATCAGCCATCTAGGCCAGGTACCCAAACATAATCCCAGTCGTCTAAAACCCATAAATGGTACATTCAAGTAATAACATATTCAAACTCAAATCGTCCGTGGTATCAACACCTCCAAGAATTTCATGTCATTGCTCAACTTAAACCACACTATCCAACTTGTAAGGCATGGCACCTAGAGGACCGTTAGTATCTGACATTTGATTCAAGACTTGAAGATGACTTACCACCCATGCCGCCAAATGAGTTAATGCCTTGGGCCTGAGCTGGGAATCCACCAGCTGAGCAGGAGACCATGCATACACAGCTGCCATCGCCACCGATGGTACCCTTTCCAGGGACAACTCCTGTGGCTTCAGGGGCAGCGGGGGCCGGGGGAGCAGCCTCAGCAGGCTTAGACTCAGCAGGAGGTGCGGGAGGTGCAGGGGCAGCATCGCCGCCTGTGATGGGAGTAGCCTTGCCATCGCCATTCTGTTGGATGGCCATCTCCTTGAACTTGGCCTGAGTCTTCTCAGCAGTAGGGTTGATGGAGAAGACCATACCCTGACCACAGTGGTTGCCTTGCTTGCAGTAGAACCCTTCAAAGGTTAGTATGATAATCAAGACATGATCGTGTTTGCCACTTACAGAGAGGAGTGTCAACCATGACTTGCATAGCGACTTGGGGAGGAGGAGAAACGGTGTTGTTGGGGTTGGGCATGAAACCAGAGTCCATGCCACCCTCGAGAAGAGCACAAGGCTTGTCGAAACCAGACTGAGAGACGGTGTGGTTCTGTGACAGGAACTCGAAGACAACAGTGTCGCCAATGGGGATATTGTCAAGCTGCTCAGGCTGGTAGACTAGACCTCCTGGGCCACCAACAGTGACTGTGTGCTGTTGAGGGGCTGCAGGAGTAGCGACGGCCTCGCCTCCCTTGGTGACGGTCTCAGTAACTGTGACCTTTTCGTTGATGGTGGTTGTCTCGGCACCAGCTCCAGGGTTCGCCCAGATGATGATGATCTCGGTCTTTGAGATCTTGTGACCTCCCGACACGACCTTCTTGTGTCCGTTGAGAATCTCTGCAGGGAGAGCGTATCCAGCAGGCATGGCCTCTGCAGGCACAGCTTCCGCAGGTACAGCTTCAGCAGGCATAGGGTGATCCCGTCGTTCAGGCTGAGCAAAGTCGAGGAAACGCGCCATGGTCAAGGGCGCAAAGGCGGCGGCCACGGCCAGACTAGTTGAGGCTTTCATGTTTAAACTTGAGGGTATTAAAGTGGAAAAGGAAAAAGATTGCGAGATGCTCGAGTCGAGATGGGAGATCGATCTAGCGATTAAGAGACTAAGTAAGTAGTAGTAATAATGAAGAGGGCCTGCCTTCAAAGAAAGGAATTCTCAAGTGCAAAAAGAATGAAGCACAAGAAACAATTGAGTGAGAAAGAGATGGAGATATGGGGATGGGACGTTTGTTGACAATCGTGGTACTGCTGTGCCCTTATTATACCTTGCCATGCTTCTCACGAGCGAAACTGTTTAACGCCTGTAACCCCCTGGAAAAGACAAGCCCTCAAACACATTTTCGAAACACGGCCGCTGAAGAAGCCGAATCTTAGCTTTGCTCGCTTCGGTCTGTCTAGATCCGATCATCAACTATAGAGTAGACTCATAACTACCTTACACTAGAGGTCGGGCTCCCTGTGAAACGCTTGTTGATGCGGGGGTGGTCTCTGTGACAGGTCCGTCTCGGATCACGTTTGGTGTTTTGGAGTTTTACCCTTTTGCGCTGTTCCTAGTGCCAAGCGAATAATATGCGACACATAATGATTGGGGTGGCTTCTTACGTAGCGGCCGGTATAGGCCTAAACGTGCTTAATTAAGTCTATATAGGGTCGTATCAACCAACGTTAACAGGGGCTGCTCTTGTTAGTGGTGAGACGTCAAAGAGACAGGTCAGACAAAGCCAAGAACGGGACTTGGCTACTCCGTGAGTGCTCAGAGTCCAAGGCCCAGCCACCTGCGGCTCCTATTATACCACAATTACAGCATGATATCGTCGACCCGATGCTCACTGATGAAGCCAAGAAGGGCCAAGCTATTAAATACATACGCTTATACTCGCCGTTTGAGCGGCACCGAGGCCGTTTCACCATTGATCGTCAACGGTGAGGTTTCATCGACATAGTATACATAGTCTCATCCGCGATAGACCCTTCCAGGCACAATAATTCGGACGACAAAAAGTTTATCTCCTTGCAGGGCTTGAGACCTAATATGTGGCCTGCCTTAATCACTTTGCGTGTATCATTGGTGTTGCTATGGATGCTTAACTGATAACCATACTCTGCGCAGTATTGTATTGTATCCACAGAGAAAGAGACCTGCCTGCACCGTACTTAGCGCTGGTATAGTCTCTTGGGTCACAAATTGCGGTCGCTATATCTTGACATGATATGAACTTACAGCCAAGTCTCTAAAGTCTGACCTTGGCATCTTGAGGCCTCTCGTTTCGACGGAAACGCCACGAACCTCTCTTGAATCCATCCGTTCTCTTCCATCCATGAACATTTCCACGTGAATCGGCGGCCGATCTTGCATCGTAGCATCAACGGCAACAGCCCGACCGAGAAACCCATGCGTATGCCATGACTTTCTGTGACAAAATTGGGGATGACTACCGCTCTTCCGTGTTTCAAGGATGCAAAATTGTTTCTTCGCTTACGAACCATCCTACTTCTGCTGAGCTTGCTGTTGCCCTTCGTACAACCCTGTGTAGTACCCAGCATAGTACCATGACATAAGGAGTTTCTTGAGGCTTTCGTCCTGGACTGTGTGTTTTGATTAGTCCTATATGACAAGAAATACCATTCAAGGATCTTGACTTACCGGAACCTAGGACAGTTTGTATAGGAAATGAGGGAGTCCCATGGGACGCGATTGGCTCCTTAGACTCATTGCGCGATGATGGGATCTCCTAAGCTTCCATGTTAGTTGTCTGAGCGTATGAAGCCAAGATTCTCATGGCACAGATCAACATAGCCAAGCCCACCTTGTTTTGTTCTGCTGCTCCCGATTCCAACTCAATCTCTTCTGTTTCTGTAACTTGGGGTTGCTCAGATCCAGACTCAGCCTCCGCCTCGGCTCTTTGTTCACAAGTTAGCCGAGTGAATCTCACCTCTTGAGGATTCAACTTACTGATTTTGAGGCTCCAGCTCCCGTACACTTCCGCCCTTAGCATGAATGCTGTGATATTTCTGCAGTCTGTTAGCAACCGCTTGCGATAAAGAGAACCTACTTACCTTGTACTCTTGTAAGGCTTCGTTCCAAGAGTCAATCAGGGCAGAATCATCCCATATCTCCTCTTGTGTCAGTTTCTCTTGCTTTTTTGACATCTTGTGCAATCAAATCTCGAACTACGTAGATGGAGAGCTCTGGGTGCTGAACTGTTAGGTTGTGTTTAAGAAGCCTCGTTTCAGATGGCTGAGGTCAAAGAGTTATTGTCTGCTTAGTTCCTATTTCACAGGAAGCTTAAGTGTCCAATATGAGTCGACAATATTCAGTGAAGAATATAAATTGAGTTGCCAGGCAATGGTTGATGAGGTACGCTGTAGATTGGTCTTATTCTGTATGTCACAGTGCTGCCCGAATTGTAAGCTTCAGAAGCTACAGACACTTTTTAGTGGACCAAGCCGCTGAAAGGACCCCAACCCCCACTACGATAAACTGATAGTGCACGCGATTCCTCACCGCCCAGAGCAGACATGGCAGAATCCCAATTTTTTTCAATGGTCCACGCATCTTTTTCTGCGGGAGTCTAGGTTTTGAGAATCTAGCAACAAGGCAACCAAATCAGACACAATGGCCCCAGAATTGAGAAAGAGAAAGTGTAAGTTACTCTAGAGTTACTAATCTTCATGCGCTGACGCTTCTTAGCCGTTTCGGACATCAAGAAGCCCAATGGCGCTGCCAAAGCTGCCCAGCCCAAGCGAAAAGGTAGAGATGTAATGCCCACGATATAGCTTTTCTTGTGTCGCTAACACAGCGTTTACAGCCCCCGAGGATGCGTCGCCTGTGTCGCTGAAGAAGCAAAAGTTTGTCAAGAAGACTGTTGTCACAAAAAAGACCGCTACCAAGCCGGCGCAAAAGTCCAAGAGCAAGCCCGAGGAAGTCAAGGTCGTCGAGGAGGAAACCACCACACTCGATATCCCCGATGAGTCTTCCGATTCTGAGGCTGAGGAGGGCAAAGAAGTTCAGGCGATCGTAAAGGAGCTGGACTCTGACGACGAGGACATCACCGAGGGCGACTCTAGCTTCAAGCAGGGACAGGATGTCGGCAAGATTCCCAAGGTCTCCAAGGATGTTCAGAAGGCCGCCAAGGCTTCCGACGAGGAAGCTGGAGTTATCTACATCGGCCGCATTCCCCACGGCTTCTACGAGCATGAGATGAGACAGTACTTTGAGCAATTTGGCCCCATCGTTGCGCTACGACTTTCCCGAAACAAGAAGACCGGTGCCAGCAAGCACTATGCTTTCGTCAAGTTTGAGGAGGCATCTACCGCCGAGATCGTGTGCAAGACCATGGATAACTACCTTCTGTTCGGCCATATCCTCAAGTGCAGAATGATCCCCAAGGAGCAGGTTCGCGATGATTTGTTCAAGGGTGCCAACCGACGATTCAAGAAGGTTCCCTGGAACAAGATGGCTGGCCACAAGCTTGAGAAGCCCTTGACCGAGTCTGCATGGGCGAACAAGGTTACAAAGGAGAACTCTAAGCGCGCAAAGAAGGCTGCTAAGCTTAAGGAGCTTGGTTATGAGTTCGATGCCCCCGAGATCAAGGACGTGCCAGCCCCCGCTGCTATTGAGAACGGAGAGAGCGAGACCAAGGCCATTGAGGATGCACCTGCTGAGAAGGAGGAGGAGCCCAAGGCTGAGGAGCCCGCTGAGGTCGTTGAGACGGTCGTCGAGGAGAAGACTGAGGTTATTACCGAGGAGAAGCCAGCTCCCAAGGGCAAGGGCAAGGCCGCAAAGGGCAAGGCAACAAAAGCAGGCAAGGGCCGAAAGGCAAAGGCTTGAGTACGGAATTGTTCAATTCAATTGGGATTCGGAGTTTTAAAGCGGCATAGACATAGTTTCAAAAAGATCCATGTATAATGAAACGAATGCAAGTTGGATCATCAGTCACGCGCTTCTTCTTTCTCTACAAAAAGGTTCTCAACCATGATATGTATGTACGCACATAAGCGAACCCATAGCACTCATAGGAAATAAAAGAGCAAGCAATGGGATTATGAAAGGCGGTTATAGTCTACTTCGCGCTCGATCGCGAAAAAGCCACGGGAAACAATGGTCTTTTTCAAAAATGTGATTGCGAAGGGTAAAAATATGTGAAGAAGAAAAAACGAGATTCGACGCGCGAGACAGATGAGAAAATAGCATCGTGAGGATCCACTCGAATATGACTAAGCTCAGTTTCACCTGGACATTCAACCAGAACACCTTGTCCAGCTTTTTGTGCTGTCAAAGTTGCTCAGAGCTAACTGGCTTGATTCGTTACAAAAATATTTGAATCAGCCTTGAATTCATATCTCAGTTAATTTTAGCCCTCGTCGTGGAGAATATCTTGCATACGAACCTGTAGATGTTGAGTTCAATTCACCAATGCTGATGATGGCGTCTCTTACACGGAACGTGGTATAGGAACCAGCTAATTGAGGGTCACTGATGGGCCATGTTGGGTTCACAGAGTAATAAAACCCCCTATTTCCTGATCAGACATATCACAGGAGTCACTCTGTATGGCATCTGGTACTGACTGCAGTTGCTAATAAGTGAGTCAGTGCAAAGGATGATGTTTCACTAAGACAGGAACAGAAAAGGACATTTTGTCCTCAGACCTGTGGTACAGAATTGGCAGTGTTTGGAAGAGATTCATATAATGAATCAGAGAGAGCTGAACCATGAGTTACTATTCCATTATATGTAAGTAGTGAACCATCATTCTCAGTCAGTGATTGGAGGCTATTCTCGAAACTAGATCCTGCAAGGTACGTGAACAGCAGCCGCAGTATATATAACACAATCGGCCATTGGCTTTTGAAAGTTAATAGCAGAATCTTTTCATGATCAAAATCATTTACTCATGCAACTGATATAATGCTACAGTAGTAGCCGGCCGACAATTCGGAGCCGACGTCGCCGGAAGATCAGCCGTTGAAACGTCTCGGAACTCCAGGGCACTTCCAGGCCAAGTCCACTAAATTCCACCAGGTAAGGTACGTCAGCTGGTGGCTGCTGACATGCAATTTGACCACCTACCAACGGAACCTAACACGAGGGAGGGTCAGTAATAATTACTGACACGTACCAAACATCCAATTCCCGTTTGTTCCTCTTAAAGCAACCTATAATCCATCCACAGGCGCTAGGATTATCTGCACGACATTGAACCTCTAGATCTGGGTCTGGATGCTCTATCCAGACTAAAAAACTCACCATGTCTTCCACCGTCGCAGCGAACCCGACCCAGGCGACGAATTCAGGTGCGTGCAATCCCTACCCCTGCCAATTGACGTGGAAATGGAGATTCGAGAACGTGTCCTAACCCATGGGGCCTCGCTTCCTACTCGTGTAGGGTCGTCAAAAAAGAAGAACAACAAGAAGAAGAAGAACGCCAACAAGAACAAGGCTGCTGAGCAACCTGTTAGTGGTAGTTCAGACCCTCAGCAGGGTTCGGATAAAGAGACACTCGAAGACGAGCCCGAGACACCCACTCAGCCCGTACGTAGTTATGATGCTCACCTCCCATATCATACAATTGCGCGCGCGCTGACATGCATCACCTCCGCAGGAAACTCCAGTCAATGCAGACGTAGACGCAGACGCAGACGCAGTCAATGCAGACAAAGTCGTAAACGAAGAAGCTCTCCCTGTCTACAGTAACGGGCATGCCGTAGAGCCCAAGGCTCAGAGCAACGGGCTCACACCCCCTCCGGTTGATGGCGAAAAGGAAAAGCCCGACGATTCAGATACCTCCGCCAAGCTTGAGGCCATGAGCCAGGAACGAGAGGCCTTGCGGGCCGAGGTCGAACAGCTACGGAAGCAGCTCGAGAACATCCAGGAGACACACAGCAACGAAGTCACACAGCTCAAGAGCGATCTAGAGGAGAGCAATGCCGCCAAGGAGAATGCCGAAGAGGAATACCAGACTCTTCTTGGGCGAGTTGAGAAGATCAAACAGACGCTGAGCGACCGGTTCAAGCGCGACAAGGCAGAGCTCGAAGAAAGCAAGGAGCGTATAGAAGAGCTCGAGGCGGAGAATGAGGAACTAAGAAACAACGCTGTATCGTCTGGAGACGACGTCGCCAAGCTAAAGGGGGAGCTACAAGATGCGACACGGGAGCTCAACACTCTTCGAAGTCGCAACAACCTATCAGCACAGAACTGGAGCAAGGAGAAAGAAGAACTGGTCCGACATGTCCAACATCTTAAGGAGGAGATGGAGACTACTGCAAACGCCATGGGCGAATGGGAGGTTATCGCCATGGAAGAGCGATCCATCAAGGAGAGCTTGGTTGATAAGGTCTCGGAACTAGAGGAACAAGTTACTATTCTGCGACAAAACTACGAGAGCGCCACTACAGAGCGAGAGAGCCAAACGACCCTTATCGAAAACCTACAGAACGCCCTCCGCGAAATCCAAGATGCTCGCAAGAAGGAGCTTCGCGATATGGTCGAGACTACCGAGGCGCAAGTTCAAGCTCTCAAGAAACAGGTGCAAGAAGCCGATGCTCGCGCAAAGGAAGCTGAAGAAGCCAAGCAAACGCTCTCACAGGAGCTTGAGCGAACAGCGCCGTATGAGAAGGAGGTCAAGGAGAAGAACCTGCTCATTGGAAAGTTGAGGCATGAGGCGATTGTGTTGAACGACCACTTGACAAAGGCACTGCGGTACCTCAAGAAGACAAAGCCGGAAGACAATGTTGATAGGTACGTTTGATATATGACGACTCATATGAAGCTTAATGCTAACAGCGGCTAGACAAATCGTCACAAACCATCTCCTCCACTTCCTCACACTCGACCGCGGTGACGCCAAGCGTTTCCAGGTCCTTCAAGTCATGGCTGGCTATCTCAACTGGACCGACGAGCAGCGAGAGCAGGCCGGTCTCGCTCGTCCAGGTACATCCTCTAATTCTCTCCGCCTACCCATGTCACCATTTACACGCACACCAAGCTCGCCATCTCTCAACACCGATCTCTTCAACGAGTCAACATCCGCCAAAGACAAAGAGTCTTTGTCTGAGCTATGGGCAAACTTCTTAGAGCGCAGCGCACAGGAGGGCGCTCTGGAAACACCAAGTAGGAAGGGTAGCACTAGCAGTGCTGCCACGGGACCAGTGAGGCCAGAGTCAACAAGGCCGGAGTCTAAGAGTTAATACTGAATATCGAAATTACGATGTGGAAATTACACTAAATGCATGTATTGAGTGGACACGGTGCATGTTTCAGGGAGAGCAGGGAGAGTATAACGCTCGACTGTTACAAGAGAAAGGATGAGATATGGTTTTCGTGGTTATTGAAGCCAAATTTCAACGGTCATAGACCTCTATGTAAGAATAGCTCTTTAGTAAGAAGGGTTGGGATAATACGCAGGAGGACGGATTAGATACTATCGTTGTCTGTCGTTTCTCCACGCAAGGAGTGCAATACATTCTGTGCATATCCTTCAGCGTCCCTCGTTATGGTCGCCACGTCAATGCGATTAGTCAATGCATCGTTGACTCCCTCCACAACCTCTCTTTCCTCCATGACCTCGCCCATGAGGCGCACTTCGTGGCTCCAGTAGGCATGGCTTCGTGATCGAAGATCCTCATCGCGCAGCGCAGTGTTCTTGACGATGCCGAGAGCGCTAAGCTTGCTCTTCACAATGAGAAGAGCACGTGAGGTTGCCTCGATGCGCTCCACGGGCGATGGAGGCTCGACGAAGGCGCGGTTTGTAGCGGATAGATATAGAAGCCAGCCAAGAGCTGCGTCGAAAGCTGCGAGGGTCACAAGACGTGCGACTCGAGCAGTCCAGTAAAAGAAGTCAACTTCCGACAGACGCAGAGCACGTGCGTTGGCTTGGTAGTTGTAAGAGTTGACAAAGTAGATATCGAGAGCCGCGATGGTCATGGCTGCCATTGTGGCCTTTGGTCGCCATTGGGAACCAGCTCGCCCTGTGAATGTTGGACTTGTAACGAAAGCGATGGCGAAGAGGTTTGCGATATGAGGCCACAGGAGTTGTGGGAGAGCATAATTGAAGAATGTCTTTGGTTCTTCTGAAGTGCAGAACGGGCAGTTCGCGAGTACTTCAGGTCCAAATTGCAAGTATAGCAGCCGGCTCTCCAGGTTGACAAATCTGCCCCTCAGCGCTTCGTCTTGCTTCGTGAGAACATTATCGGGTCTTCCAACTGCAACACGGTTGAATAGAACATCGACCGGGATCTGGAGACGGCTTTGGGTAGCAAGGAACAGGTTCTCGGGTGCGAACGGCGGTAATGTCTTGAGGATGTAGCTGATGATTAAGAAGGCCAGGAGGGCGAGCGCAACGCGGACTTTGGGCGGTACGGGAACTATAGGCGCATGCCGGGCTTGCGAAGAGGCCTTGACCGATCGATAGTATGATATGGCCTTTGGTAATAGTATAGGGCCAAAGAAGATAAGGAGGGAACGGATACTGATCAAGGTTAGTTGTTGTTTGTACACGATGTGTAAGTGGCTATCAAGAGGAATAAAGTCACAAGGACAAGTTTAATACTAGAGGATATACTTACGAGTCCCACGGGATCGCCATTATGGCGAATATCAAACCGAAATGGTCGTGATCCTTTGTTGGTTCTGAGGTGTTGAAGTTGAACACGTTTTGTTACAAGATTGAGACAAGGCTGATAAACGACGTCAGTTCAGGAACAGCTTCAATAAGGCAAAGGTGGCGCCAAGCCTAAGATACTGCCCGTAGGCCTGAGCCCACCTCAGGGACAGCGTCTGTCGGCCAATGTGGGGGCTTAAACTTTTGGTGGGGCCGGCGTCTCTTTTCAACGTAAAACCTCGGATTTTTCTTGTCTTTAACAAATTTCTTTCCTTCTTCACTTCAATCATTCAACACAAGCAACTCCCCTTCTTCGCCTTTTTGTTCACAATCACACCCAGCAACACTCACTATAGCTCAGTAACGCAATAATATGGCTCTTGCGCCGTTATTCACTGCCCCCCGCTCGCTCCGTGCATCCGTGTATCATTGTTACCATTGGCACTTTCGAAGCTTTGGCGATCTCTCTGTGGTCGCTAGAGTCAATATGTTGCCTAGATCAAGCCCCAAATACCCTGCCAAGGGTTATTCTCTGTCGTGTTACAAAGTCTCAGCTTCGGCAATGAGGAACTTTGCGTCAAATTTATCTAAGAGATACATCCCCATTCGTAGTCAAGCTTTGCTTGTAAATATGCATATTTTTACTATGTGCGCGAACTAGCCATGACTATCGTAGCGGTTTGCTTATGACTTCTTCTTCTCCTCCGCGGCGACCTTTTGGGCTGCGACGGGTGCTTCCTTGGCCTGCTTCGCGTTGAGGAGCAGACCAGCAATACCCACGATCAAGTCGCTGAAAAGGGCGATAACTCCTGTACAAGCCAACTGCCACGAAGCGATGCTCACACTTCCGATGGGAGCGCGAGGGAAAGACAGAATCCATTCCGCCCAGTAAGGGAACCAGCCGTAAGGCAGCCAGAACATGGGCTCGGTGGCATACCAGAAGGGCAGGAAGTATTGCGGCGCACGTGTAACGACGACTCGGAGAACGGTGAGGATCTTGTCAAAGTTGGATCGTGCTGCCTCGTTGGTTTTCTCTGTGGTGGCCATTTGTCAGCTCTCTCTTGGTTTCCCCGAATCTCTACGGCAGATGTGACGTACTGGTCTTCTCTAGCTGTTCGAGGAGCTTGTCGTGCTGACGACGGAGCTTTGCCCACTTGGCAAATTCATCCTGACTACTCGTGGAGTTCAGATCTCGTCGGACCTTGAGGTAATCGGCCTGTAGCTTGCGTTGCTCGCCTGCAGCCTTTGCTGTCGATACGGGGAGGAAGTTGATTATTGTCCAGAGCTTTTTGAGTTAGTAGCTGAGCTAGAGAGCACGGTTTGGGTTGGGTAGCATACCAAGTTGTTGATTGCGGCGGCTCCAATGGTATTGACGAGGTTGACGACAACTTCGACAACGAAGATGCTGAGCATAAGGGAGGCCATCTTAGAGGTCTAAGTGTATCAGCAGCAACAGATAATAGCCTTCCAACGTGAGCACTGTGTATTCGGTCCTGGACCGGTTTGAGTCTGAGCTCGTGAAGTTGATGATGCTGTTGGTTTTGGTGGTTTGTTAAACGTGGTCAAGCCATGTCATAACCCCGACACTTGCATGGAGCTCCATCAAACCCCTCCACACCACGTCGGTTGTCTCAAACCTACCCTATACTTTCAACTTACTTACTTTCCTCGATCATTCCAATGTCGCGAGCACTCGACAAGAGTCTCAAGGCATCTCTCAGACATGGAAATCATCATTCGGTATTTCTAGAAATCTCGAATGTTCTTATTGAGTCTTCAAATGAGCTTCTAGAGATCGAGTTGTTGGGTAAAAGCCACGTCGTCGATGCCCATACATCAGTCTTGCGAGACGAGAATGCAGTGGCCATACCAAAGTTACGCCTCGTGCAGGCGTTTATAGTAGCGCAGGAGCTTCTTAAACAGTTCCAGGCCGATAACCAGCGGGTATCGTCAGAAGACATTTCAAGGTCAACTGCAGTTATTCTGTTGATGGACCCAGAGCACCTAACAGCTGCCAACACAAGAAAACGACTTATCAGAGACAAGTGGAGAGAAGAAGACCCGCAAGACAGACTACATCTCGAGAAACATCTGATTGATAGTTTACTGACCAGTCGGCTTCATCGACATACGAAGTCACCAACACTATGGAATCATCGCCGATGGCTGTTGGAGCAATATCGTCTTCACAATATCGAGGTTACAGCCGAGGATGGCCTCACAAGAACCATCATGATATCTGGAGAAAGACATCCACGAAATTACTATGCCTGGTGTCACGCTAGATATCTGGTTAATACCTTTATCCTATCATCCTCAAGTTCACAAGAGGGAATATCACGCATCATCATCGCTACGCAAAAGTGGTGCTTTGCCCATCACAATGACATATCTGGCTGGCAATTTCTTCTGTTCCTGCTAGACAAGCAACCTGCCGAAACATCGCCTGTGTTTCGCGAGACATTGAAACTCGCAGCCTCGTTCAAGTGGCGGAATGAATCTGTGTGGTACTTCCTTCGGCTTGTGACTGCGCGGGGAGTTACAAACTCTGACAAAGACGAGTTTGAAAGTCTACGAAAGACCCTCTGGGAGACTACGTCTGAGGAGAGTATTGAGAAGAAGACGCTTGAAAGAGCAGAGCAGTGGCTCATGGCTAGTCAATGATCGTTGACGACTTCGCAAGCAAGGAACTGGACTTGAGGACCCGGGCTGAAACCGAAACTCATTCATGGGTTGCCTCACGGTGTCTTTCGGGTAGTATGCGACTATGAAACATGGGAATAGACATTGGAAATAGAAACAATACGGTCTCAACTGGAGCACAGACGCTGGATAGCACTTAGGTACAGTCGCGATCCTTATCTAAATGAAGATCTGCCGTCCTTTGACGGTGAAATATTGAACCCTGGGAGGCCCGCGGTTAGTGACCTATCACAGCTGAATGCAAGTATGGCTAAAAGCTGCAATATGAATTCAAATTGAGGTCTACCCTGATCGACAAGATCCGAGCAGATAGCGGTGCCGGGGTCGAGATTAAAATTCCGAGAGGCATTGACGGCGCCGTGCGATTGTTTCATCAACAGGGTCATTTGACAAGGGACTTTCTAGACCATGAAGCTATCCAATTGTGTTTAGGCATTCTGAATTAGTGATGAAGTCATTGAAGTATGTACAGAAATAAACGATCCATCGAATCCGTACTGGAATCTTGGTGAAATTGGAGAGCTTGGCACCAATGTGAGAAGGTTGGAAGCCAATGAGATGTTGTATTGTAGATTGCAACATAGAGTGTGTATCCTTGCCATTGGAATGATACATTTGTCCAGAAGGATTAAACAGAGGATATTGTTATCTTTAGCTTGTTTGTACCTAAGATCAATGGCTGACTTTGCACGACGTTAGGAGCTGGACATTGCTCGTGTCAGGGATGAGCTTGGCTGTCATGCGTGAGCTTTAGAGAGTAAACATTCAAAAGGAAACAAATTTCATGTAAACAGGTTTGAGAATACGATATGTTTTTGCATTGCCATTACTCAAGAAGGATCCAGCCTGAAACGGAGTCAATAACGTTAAGATGTTGATGTTCTCATGTGAATACAGGGCAACAGGGATAGGAACGTATCCGAGAATCTATGCACACGTGGAGAAGAAGCCAGACGGCCGATGACCCGACCTCGAAGGCTCGAAAGACTCGTGATACCTGGGGTTCCAGCCCAATGAATCAGCAAATTGGAATACTCTGCATTGTGATCAATCTAGACACTGATCAAGCGTCAAATTGCCAACTTTACCGCCGCGTAATCTGCACAAGAAGCGCCTGACAATGACCAAAAGGATCTAGAAGAAAACTGGAGCGAGCTGAGCGTTTTGAGGCTCACAGTAGTCAGGGGAAGTTGTGTGGTAAAGCTGACGCTGACCGGTAGAGTGGCGCCGTTGTGTTTGACGCGTAATAAGGTAGGTAAATAAGGAGACAAAACGCTACTGCAAGTCAATTGAGAAAACAATAACTTGAACTTGGCGACCCAATGATGTCGAGTCAAGAGATGCAAGCCCAAGGGGACTTTGGTGTGTCAGCTTGACGCCAGGGCATCAAGCTTTAAACTTCTTGGCCATTGATATCAGTACGGAATTGGAATTTGGTTACATGGCTGTAACGGTCTGGTTGATGAAACTCTGAGTTTTAACGTTATGATAAGGTTAGATATGGCCAAGACTTCCAAAATCGAATGGCTGTTGGGATTCAATTCCTCAACCAGGCTATGTTCTTCATACGCCATAGCCAATACTTTGAATATCAGCTTCAGGCAAGGGAACCACAATATTGCTCCTGGTTTCCACAGAACGCGTGTTTCGTTTTCACCATTGACAGTTGAAAACGCCTGAGTCAATCCGGCTGAAGCTTGTTTTTTCCTCTTGCCGCTTGCTCCACGTTGCGTTGCAGCACATCTCGTGTGTGCCGCTTTGTGCAGATCTTGGCTTGGGGTGAGAAGTCTAACCCAAAGCATCAGCTGGAGTGCTGCACGTTAACTTATCCGTCCGTCTCAGGGGCACAGAAACTCGGCGTCAGACCTTGTCTCGGGGAGTTTCTCACTGAACGAAAGCAGCACTTTGCATTCAATTTTTTAAGTACCAAGGTCGCTATCTTTTCGGTACGTATTTGGTATACGAGATGATGAAGTAGCACCAGGCAAGAAGAGGACAAGCATACGGATTTTCGGCCGATATCGAGGTAGCAGGGGGCACAAGCAGACAAGGCAGGGTAGAGTAATCTCCACAGCTCGAGTCCACCGTAATAAACAAGCGGCTAAGAGAAACGGGCCATTCAGAGGCTGACGACCCCTGAACCTTACAGATGAACGTTGCGTGGGCGTCCAGTGATGAGCAGAGATGCACTCTGATCCGTAGCACATCGACTCAAGCTGGCATGGCATGGCATGCGGTGGAGAAGGTTTTACGGGCGGCGTTCCTCTTTGTTGTTTGCAGGTCCCGTCGTGTTTGACGGTTGATTCAGTCCGTTCGTGAGATGATGAGATACCTGATCTACAGGTACTGGACCTTGCTGATCGTCGAGCCAAGATAGCTAATGTCCAATCAATGGGGTCTACTTAGCTTGGCTTTGGATCTAGAATCAAGCTAAGTTGTGAGAGATGAGAGAGAAACTGTGGTCAAAGACTGAAGTGTTCTGTGGTCTTCGTGTCGTGGATATAACGCTGGTATCATGCTGTGATGTGATAGCAATATGATGTGTCTCTTCTGACAACTCTTATCCCTTCCGTTCGCCTGCCTCTTTGGGACGATATCTTCAGCAGGTACAGCACCTTCAGGTCACTTTCTATCCCCTGTATCTAGTGCGTAGGTTCCATGTCTCGAACTACAACCTCGCCGGGTGCTGTGTTCTCTGCTCTCCGCTCTCCACTAGCTGTACAGTGGGCAGCTATCTCCCCATACCAAGACTAACCAGCCTAACCCACCTCTTCCCGTCATTCTCTATCCCTCCGAACTCCACTCACTCACCTCAACCTCTCTCTACCTCTTTTCTATGCTGTACTCTACTCTACCTTACCTTAATTCGTAATAATTCCCTCCCTCCTCCGTCTTCTCTCAGCTTTGTTCCTTTTCTGTTTATTTCCATTTCTCGTATTTGTATTTGCACCTTTCTTTGTTGTTCCTCTTTGTCTCTCGTCTCGACCCAGGCCAGGACCTCAAGCCGAGTACTCCGACTTCCGAGAAACCTCAACGCCCTGTTCCAGAAAAAGAGAGACTCGAATTGGTCTCACTGTCACCAAGCCACTTCCATTGCGTCTGGCTTGTGTTTGTTGCATCTTCGCTTGTCCAACTTGCACCAGGTTCTGGTTATCAGTCGGCAACTTTGCTGTGCCGTTTTGTTTCCAATGCTGGGCTCGTAATTCTAATCCTTTAATACATCTCGCCAACTCTGGCTCAAGAGGCCTCGCCTCGATTCTGTCTTCCTGCCCGGACGCGCTTGAGACAAGCTGTTCCAATTAGCTTTGACTCTGGTCTCACTCCGTTTTTGTTCAATACAAGCCAATTCAGGTTATATCAACCACCTCCAAGTGCATATTCTTCTGTACGCGCCAGGGAGGTTTGGTTGAATTGACTCAGTATAACTTCAATATGCGCCCAGGATCTCTATTGGCGCAATTGGCCTTGGCCTCATCTGCCCATGCCTTCTTCCCCTATAGTCCGAGCTGGCGTGTCGATGTAGGACAAAAGCGTATGGCTCGAAGTCCCAAGAGTGTGGGCAATGGTGGTGGTGTGCGTATGGATATCAAGCAAAGATCACCTCAGGTTTGTTTCTGGAGAATTGCTTGACAGTTTTATTCCATTGACCGTTCAACCACAGTCCAGCCAACCGATAACTGAGAGAGCAGCCCACGAAGCAGCACGTTTGATCGCCAAATATG